ACATGGATTTTCAAAGTGTCAGCATCAAGAGGCTCCAGCGTGGCAACAATTATGAGGTTAGCCCAGGACCAGGCAGTGTTACATTCTGTTGTACATAGGATCGCTATGAGTCAGTACCGACTTGATGGCACCTAACAACAACAACAAGTTAAGTTCTGATCATCAAGTCATCGAAGCTAGGTTAAATGGGTACTGTCTACAAGTTTGGGTGTTCTTGTATGTCTCCCCTCAGTTCATATTTATAAGGACGTTAAGCTGTCCTTATAAATCTTCTGTTCATCTCTTCGATTTCATCATTTTTCCAGTCACTGTACCTATTCTACATTCAAAAGCAAGTTTCAGAGTCTCTTCTGATCTCCATTTTGGTCTTTTCCTTCTTTCCTGTCTTTTAAATGACCTTTTTCTCTCTTCATGTATGATGTCCTTCATATCATCCCACAACTTGTCTGGTCTTCAGTCCTTAGTGTTCAATGTGTCAAATCTATTATTGAGATATTTTCTAAATGCAGGTGGAAAATACTAAAGACTGTACTTGGCTCTTGTAGCTCTTGTTTTAATTTTCTTCAACTTCAACTTGAACTCTCATATGAGCAATTGATAGTCTATTCTGCAGTCTGTAGTTGGCCTTGTTCTGATTGGTATTGAACTTCTCTCTCTTCTTTTAGCAGGTGTTGTTGATTTGATTCCTGTTTATTCCATCAGGCATGAGTATAGTTGGAGTCCCCGTGTGGTGCTGCATGATAACCACCAGACAGCTAACTACAAGGCTAGCAGTTCAAACTCAACAGCCGCTTCTTGGAAACCCTATGTAAGGATGCCAGAAATCAGAACTGACTAGAAGGCATTTAACAACAACAACAATGTGTATAGTTGCTTCTCATGTTGTTGAAAGTAGACATTTGCAATAAATAAGTTCTTGATCGTGCAAAATTATTTAAAGTCAAGTAAGCAAACTATTGAACAGAGTCCAACCTTCTGTTTTTGTAAAAAATAAAAAAATAAAAAGTTTTATTGTAAGTTCTACCAAGCAATGTCTACTCAAGAAAAATGGCACTCCTGCATCAAGGATACCAAGTAGTATTAAAGTCTCCATCACAATAAGCTAGAGGGTCCCGCCCCCTTCTTTCCCCCACCCTCACAAAAAGATCGGCTACAAGCAAGCAGAGAGGAAAGGGAAATAATTTGGCGCAGGCAGTAAGGGTCCCTAAGACCTGAGACAGCAGAGAGAAAAAGAAGCCTGCAAATGTCCCAGTTCCCCTTGTGTCTTTCTCCGCCACGCCCTCCAGGATGCAGAAGTTCAACCCCTTCGGAATGCTCTCACATCCGGGAGATCCGGAGGCAGTCCGGAGGACCGTTGCCTGGAGACAGACACACAACTAGTCAAGCTCCCAGGGCAGCGACAGACTGCGGGGGCGCTACAGCGACCTTGCTTCTCGCCCGCCATGGCCGACTTGCGCTCATGTAGCAGCTCTGAAGAGCTGATGAAGAAGGACGAGGAACACAAGGTGGAAAAAGACACCAAGAACCAAGAGAAGGACGAGGTACACAAGGTGGAAGAAGAAAACGAGTACCACAAGGAGGAGAAGGACGCGGACCACATGGAAGCCGAGAAGGATGAGGACCACACGAAGGCGGAGAAGGACAAGGACCACACGGAGGCGGAGCAGGACGAGGGCCACAAGGAGGAGGAGAAGGACGAGGGCCACAAGGAGGAGGAGAAGGACGAGGGCCACACGGAGGAGGAGCAGGACGAGGGCCACAAGGAGGAGGAG